CAGATGACAAAAACCTTGCAACCAAATGGCCATCACTTTGTCCACATGCGGAATGAATTGAAGCACAAACGACATGAACTTGCCAACCTCTGTAATAAGAACATGTGCTGACCGAATCTCCTTTACGGAGAGTTGATTGGAAGCAAGGCTATGTGCAATTCAGACAACTTGAAAGGCTGCCGCTGCAATGCACGTAGAGAGACTCTTGATGCCCATCCTAGATGCAAAAGTCGCCGAGATCCCGAATTTGACTGCAAGTTCTTGCAGTTTTGCTTTCTCCTTGCCTCCATAGTTGATCTGCACAAGCTTGGAGACAGACACAATGTGTTCTTGAAAATCGACAAAGCGCTTTCCTAGGGGTCGTTTGAAGCTCTGGATCCACTTGTCGACGTCCCCCTCTCCTGATCCCTTTAGTCGGGCTTTGTGATCGTTCAGGGCTTCGGCAGGAACACTGTCGATCTTACGCTTGAGGTCACTCTCCCAAGTCTGCGGTGGTGTCCCGGATTGTAGACACGGAGCACTAGATTGCGAGGCAACCGGGAGCTGTGTTTTCAAAGCGGGTTTCGTGGGGGTAACGGGAAGTCCTGCGGCTTGTAACTGTTCACGGCGGCGATTGAGCTCTTCCGTAACTTGAAGAAACTTCTGAGATTGATCGACGCCTGCAGACACCGGCATGTTGTCAAACATGAGCTGAACGATCTTGTCAACCATCGGCTGAAACAGAGCTGCACAATCCGTGTTCTTGTTGGGAATAATTGTAGATGGATTAGCGGCCTGAAAGAGATGCGTAGCAACTGCATCGATGTCAACTTTGCGATCTCGAAGGCTCTTCGTCACTTGCGACATGAACACTGCTTCGGCAACCGTAGCAACTGGCACAACACTGAAAAACTTGCCATGACTCAATGCTCGAAGGCGCCAATCCGAAACTCCATGAAACAGGAATTCCTGAACAGGAATGCTGAGTGGGTCTTTTCCTGCGATCCCTTTCTTCCGCGACCACGGGGTGGCTTCGATGGACTTACGAAAGGACAAGCCATGAAGCACCGTTGAATCATAATGATCACGATCTGACGCCCATCCATTCGGTAGTGCAGGAACAAGACCAGGACCTTGATGACATGGCATGGGAGTAGACGGCGATGATGAAGGTGCCGAAGAAAGTGGAGGCGGAGGTAGTGGAGGTGGCTGACAAGCAGGGGCAGACTTGGAGAGATTGGGATCAGTCCAACTTCCCGAGCTATACGGCTGATAGCGGTGCTGACCCCACGATTGTTGGGACCTCCCGTACCCTGTGTTGGTGTCCCACTGTCCATTCCATGCCATGGTTTCAGATCTATCGACAAATCTGAGTGCGCGGAGTCGCTGACGACACTTCGAATCAAAAGGCTCCGTAGGCAAACAAACCTGCTCAAGTTGCTACCAAACTGCAACACTTGCACATCGCTTGCACAACTCTTGCATCACACTTGCTCATCACTTGCACGTCCCTTGCAACACACTTGCACGTCCCTTGTTGGCACAGCTCGCAATCTTAACTGGCATGTTTTCGACACATGTATACGTGCGAAGCAGTTGACACCGGAAGAGACTTGAGAACGTGGCCGGTCAAAGCAGCATGTTGCACTCAGACCCTCCAAAAAACAAGAAGCGCTTCCGGGATGAAACATGAAGAGCGAAAGACCCATCTGCCATCTTTGGCACGGGCAACATCACGAATGTAGCTGCAGGAATGGTCACCTTCAACCCCTCCCATGGGGATTCTTGAGTGGGGAGGCGTGAGGGATCCTTGACGATTAAATGCATGTCCGAAAATGCACACCGGACGCTCACTCAGAATGCCACCGTACTTGGCCGCTGCCTCTTGTGCTTGTTCTGCATCTGAAGTGTGAGCCCTAGCATAGAAGGAAATTGGTGGGGACCACTTGCTGTCACTAGCATCCCACCACGATGGTCGGATCGTTCCCTCAAGGAGGATTGATGCAGCCGCTGCCACTGTTGTGTTGTGTGCAACAGGAGAACGAGTAATCCCTGCTGCAGAAGTATGCGACCTGATCATGGTCCTCTCAAAGTGGGTGAAGTGGATGCTCAAGCACTTGCACGAACTCGACAAAGAACGAAGCTCGACAGAATGAATGTTTGCGGCTTGGTCAGCTGCTGCAATTGCCTGAGAGACATACTTCAGTGCCGTCGAATTGACAGAGTGGGGAGGAAGACCTAACAGGCTGATCAGGTAGTCCGCAGTGCTTTGCATCAAAGAGCTGGGGACCTGCAACTCAAGATTGGCCTGTATCTTCATCGAAATTTCACATGCCGATTTCATACGGCCAGGGCTGGAACTGATCAAGTGACGTAGAGCAGCAAACATGGGGTATAATGCGACCCAATTGAAGCTAGCTGAGTACACACGTATCAGCTTTGCTTCTTCATCGCGCACTTCCAACCCACGAAGTTCAGGAATCACGAAGAAGTTTGAATCTTGCTCCCACTCAACTTCCACATGCCCTTTGAGAAGAGATCGATTCTCAAAATGCTCATACGAGTCTTGCAAGGGTCTAACTCGAAAGACGTAAGTCTGGTCCGCACTGAGCTGCCACCCTACGCGATCTGCATGAGTACCAGGAATCTGATCACAAATTGCACGAAGTCGAATGCTGTTAGGATCTGCAACGAGAGAAACACCGCTTCCATGAACTTGCCGAAGTCGCTTTGTTGGCTGGGATGAATCATCCGTTTGGTACGTGATGGCTGACTGCTGGCTCTGAACAGATGCTGTTGACTGATTCTGTTGAGAAACAACAGACTGCTGAATGTCAAGCAAATTGTTGAGGCCAGCATACACATCTCTGTGGCCTCGGACATGTGTCAAGTTTGCCGACATGATCGCTGAGTATTCAGCGAAATCAGCCACCGTGCGAAACGACAACCGGAAACCTGTGCCGTCTGCATGAAGAGTGATTGCAGGGGGAATCTCTTGCTGTGGAACCTGCCGATCATTCACAGCACGTGCAGCAATCAAGGTCGGAGTTGCATCTGTAGTACCCGTACCGATATTGGATGCAGAAGGGACCGGCAAAGAAGAAGACGAAGCAGGCGCCGGGCAAACTGCAAGAGTGGGGGGCGGGGGAGGGAAGGCGGGAGGGGGAAGGGGAGGGGGGGGTGGAATCCACTTCGCTGTGGTACCACGGTAGGGGGGAGGGGCAGAAGCGGGGAGGGGAGGTGGAGGCAAAAGGGGAAGGGGGGAAGAGGAGGGTGCAGGGGGAGGTGGGGGAGGAGGGGGGGGGGTTGATGTGCGGGTACTGCGTCTCTTTCCTGAAGCATCCATGGCAAACTGATCAGCAACTACCCAAAAGTACAGCTCAAGTACTCAATCTGTAGCCAAAGACCTGCGACAAGTCAGCGAAAAAGTCAGAATCGGGAAAGTCGATCTGATCATAGACAGTCAGTGGAAAAGTCAGCATTCAGGTTTCGGTATAAGCATTCGGTGAAGACTCACTGAGAAAGTCAGCTTGCAAGCACGGATATAGAATCAGGGAAAGTCATCCAATGCTTATACAGTCAATCGGGAAAGTCAACGCCAGAGCTACCTCTGGGAGACACGGCGCCCATAAGGAATGCCGTTGTGAAGCACACTTGACACATCGTGTCGCAGGTCTCGAATCACACTCTCAAAGTCAGAAGAGTCAGCTATGATTTCCTTGTCGGTCTTACTAGCGAGAAAAGCCAAGCTACACCTGTAACCTTGCACACGAACTCCACTCTATGCTCTGGCAGTCGGACTTGAAGCAGTATACAGCGAATATGAAAAGGAAAACAGTGGACAGCTTGCACGATGGAGTATGTCACAAGCTTTTGCAGGTACACGAGTCAGCGTCCTGACTCGCTTCACAGATGCAATGCTGGCGTCTTCGTTGGTGCCAGTCCAGCATGCATCCCTGGCACCCCCTGCTCAATAACGACATGTTTATCTCCCCTTCGAAACAGGGTTGGACACACACACACACACACACACACACACACACACACACACACACACACACACACACACACACACACGCGCAGAGATGCACCACCACCTGGGATTCCAGCCGCCTTGGAGCCGATGAGTCGGACACTTTCGTTCACGACCTGAGGTGCAAATCAAAGGACCGTCGGACGCGCATCTCCCTCTCTCTTCATATATACATGTGTATAGAGAGATGTGTACGTATGTGTGTGTACGTATGAAAGTCTGCATGTGCGTATGTCGATATAGATGTATGCATGCATGAACTAGGCATGTTCGTATGTCTGTCTGTCTGCCTGTCTGTAGATGTATTCTTTCATGGTGAGTGTGTGTGTGTGTGTGCGCAATGTAAAAGAAATATGTGAATTGCTGCATCGTGGGGTTGATGCCTGCGGAGGCTTGAGGCATGGACCAATCTGGCCACGCAATCCATCACCGTCACCTGCAACTCGAAACTGAAAGACCAGACGGTGCTTGCACAATGGTGGCCACAACCCCGCAATGCAAAGAAAGCTTTGGTTATCTTGAAATTAGCCCTCTTTTCGTGGAGAGAGAGGGTACTTTTACTGAGTCTGCTACATCAATACAGGGCAAGTGATGGCAAGTGTGCGGAGCCGTCTTGTCTAACACATGCCCGCCCGTTCTTGATCCAATACCTCACAAAGCTTTCAAAGGGTGTTGAAGAAAGCACCCAGGAAGACCCTGAAGGTTGAAATCCTATGGACAGAATCCATGGCCTGGTCATGATTTGAAAGTCGCCGTCGGTCGCAGGGACTCGTCTTTAGGATTGGCTCTTGATGTGCCCACCGAGCATCCCCCGGATTCCCAAATCACCAGTTCTGGTTAACTCAATGAGCGTTCCACAGCTCGCATCCACATCTTCAGCATCCAACTTCCACGTGCCCTTGCCTACCAAGTCGCAGCAACTTTGCTTCAATTACCGGAAGGGTCTTGCAGAATTGCTTGAGGAAGCCTTGGATTGGCCCCTCACATCTCACAGCATTCTCCAGAATGAGCTGGCCTTTCGGAATCGCCGCTTCAGCGCTTGAGCAGCTGCCTGACAACACTCCGGGCATGGGGTTCACACACAGGCCTCATCAAGCACGACAGGGTGTTACAGTATGTCATGCTATAAGTATTCATATACCTGTAGGGACTATGAGGATAAGTTTTTCCGATCTAGGCCCCTGCACTAAGGAGAAAAAGTGGAGGTGGAAACGGGCTTCAGAAGGCTCAGAGGAGCTAAGGGCTCGGCGATTCGCTGCTGGAGCGACGCAGGCTTCCCGTCGGGACCCGTGCCTGGAAACCATGCCCAGAATCAGGAACGGAGACTAGTCTTGTTAATGGCTAATAGCTTCACCAAAAGAGTTACCAAGAGCGTCGCCCGAACTCAGTGCTATCTGTGCTGTGACTCTTGCATAGGCAGGCCGAGGCAATCACCCAACACAGGCACAGTCATCAGAGGTGTTGAACAGCTCCTAGCAGAGGATGCCGCATGCGCTTCCTGCTCCCTTTACTTTCGCTCTGGAGTGGACTTGTCACATCCTGACTTCGTAAACCTTCGATGCAGGAAGAGTGTACATCCACCAGAGCCCTTAGAGTGCATGCCCTGCTTTGAGTCCTTGAGGCCGTTTGGATGATCTCGCGAAGACGTGGGATTCCCAAAGTCACGTTGGCACCTGCGGCAAGGAAGCACACGCCCTGCTGACAGGCGTGGCATGCTAAGAGATTCACTGACAAACAGGCCACCAGGACGCCTACACCTCTTGCTGACGCATCTCATACGCTTGGGCTCTTAGCTGCTTGAAGGAGCCATGTCGGAACGAGCCACAGCCTCCATGTCCTGCTAAGTGGAAGGTGTTGAGCGTCATTTGGGTGCTCGGCTCTCCTTAGAAGACAGGATCTGCGCAGGAATCTGGCTTTTTGCTGAGGAGCCCATATTGAGTATAGGTTGCCATGATAGGGATACAGTGAACTAGTGAACACTGCGCGTGGCTTCCTGAGTAGCTCAACGCAAGCTCCTTCACAAGAAGCTAGGAATTGAGGTGCTCGCCCATGCTTTGGGCCGCAATGACACCAACTGCTTCGCCGGGTTCAGCCAGCGTGCGCCTTACGACTGCAAGCTGCGGATCATGGGCCTACTCTGAGTAGAGACTTCGGGTCCCTATTGTAGCTCCTCGAAGGGCTACAATGAAGGGTACCATATGGTCTAGGGTTGATATCAGATGCCGTGACCTGACGCAGAAAAGTGAGACATTCTGGCAATGAATGCTCGGGGCCCTGCTGAAACTTCAAATGCATTGCGCGCTCGAAGTGCTTTGCCTGCAAGGCTCATTCATGAGCACTCACGAGCGTTCAACGAAGACTCTGTGAGCAACTTGAAGGATTCGTTCGAAGCTCTGATGCAGGGGTCGTATCTGCCTTGACACTTAGAATAGGATTTAGGGGTATATCATCCAGCACCTGCTGGTAGAACTACAGCAAAGGATTCCTGAGGACTACAAGCCCTCTAAATTATTGGTGCAGCAGCGCACCTCCTTGCTCGTCATCTGCCCACTCTCCGTGCTTTGCTTGAGATACTTCTGCAGTGCCTGGGTTTAGGCTTGACGTACGGCTTAAAAGGTTTAGGGTTACAGGATTTAGGGTCTTGGGGTCTAGAGTGTAGTTGCCGAAGTCTGAGCCTCAATACGTCGCAGCGACAGTGGCGCTTCACCCTCAAGGCGCGCGTCGCAGTCGATGCAACGGCCAGTTCTACCAGCCAGTTGCGAGCTTGCTTGAGGTTATGCATGCCGCTCACCGTACCACACGACATGTTCACAAGAAAAGAACACATAGGCCAAGGCGGCAAAGACATACTCCCGTATCTACGAGCCGCACTCTGAAGCCCAAATCCCCCGAGCCCTACACCGCCGAACCCAGAGCTGCCAAAGCTTGAGGCAAAACTGAGGAGATTGCTTCCTCGTGCTTCTCCGATGTCGCTCCGTAGTAGTGCGAAGGCCCTAGCCTCAAGTGAAAGTTGATTTGGGAGGTTACTCCCTACAAAGCCCTAAGCCCAAGGCTTTAAGGGAACGCTAACTCAGCGCCTCACTCCCCAACTCTGCTTCTAATAACCTGCCCAGTTGACGGCCGACTGATTCTACAGACAGAAGCTGATAGTGGAAAAGGAACCCATGTAGCGACCAACCTTGGGTGGATCGCTTGGACGGAAGTGGTCAAGATTCTGGAACAATCTAACCTTTGCCTCAAGCCCTGCACTCACTGCACCTAGATTTCAAATCGTTCTATCGGCATGGGCCTCTTGCTTGCTCTCTGTGTATGTCCGTGATAACTTCATGACTTCGTCTTGCATATGCAATATATATATATATATATATATACATATATATATACACACACACACACCTGTGCAAGCTATTGCAGGAACGTACCTGTGCAAATATAAACACACATGAAGTAAATCTCAAACAATTGGTAAGTATGTGCATGAAACAGCACATGCGCCTGCTTAACTTGCACATCTACGTGATATTTCAAGCAAGTACATGTATATGCACGTACAGTTTACTGGCGTGTTTATGCATACATACCCACATACTCATACATACCTACTTAAACATGCCAACATACATCATACATTCATAGATACATGCACGGATACACGCAGAGGTTAGTATACATATATATATATATATATATATATAGATGCTCACACCCCCCCCCCAAGACCTACCGCGAGGTGCTTCGGCTAGCAATGGGTAGTAGAACATGTAAGGATTTGAGGAAACCATTAGGATAAAATACTCTCATACATAAACAATGGAAACGTATATCGTGTATAATCAATAGCTGAATACACTGTAATGACCTACGACGGCGCGACATCGCCGTTGGCGGATTTGGGCAAGCTTCAATGCCTGCAATTGTTTAATAGGATACTGCCTAAATGTTCCGGATATTCATAACTCTGGTCATATAATGACCATAGGCATAACCCGAAGACAGGACCAAGACAGAACAGTGTCTACATCCTACGTAAGATCGTTAGATGCGCCGGGTAACTTTGTGTTTGTCATTGTCTGTTTTTAATATTGTTCATGTACTCATAGGCATAACCCAAAGACGGGACCAAAACAGAACGATGTGTGCATCCTACCTAGGATCGTAATGAGGGTTACATGTGCACACATGTTTATTCTGTGTGAAGCTCTTAGGTTACTCATGCGCCAATGTGTATAATAGCTATTACTAGTGCGAATACTAATACTGATACTAAGATTTCTATTCCTACGAATAAGGATATTACTGTTCATAACATAATAGGCTTAATGGTTAATACTAGTATTAAAAATTGCACTACTAATTCGAATAGTAGTGCTGATGGGAATATTAACACTCCTGGGGATACTAATACGCATATTCTTATTAACTGTTCTCAATATGAATACTAATAGTACTAGTTGTTTGGAATACTAATACTTGTCCGAATATTCATACCAATACTCAGGCTACTGCGATTATACATAATAGGACATTAATATGGGTATTCGTATTAAGGTCAGCATTTCCTTCGAAAGTATTCATATGCGCATCATAATTCATCTTAATACTCGTACTGATATGAATTAGTATGATTACAAATACTTTTACGAAGACGGGTACTTTCAGTAATACCGATACTAATATGAATACTAGTGTTCCTACGAATATTAAAAAACATACCCATATTGATAGTAATTTTATTTTTTATTTGTTACCAATATACACGCAAATGCTAACATTAATACTAATATGCACATAAGTGATACAGTTCCTCCGCAGATTAATGCGCATAGTCTTATTAATTATTCTCAGTATTTATATTCACATTAAAAAACCTACACTAACATGAATAGCAGTATTACCACTTGATACTCGAGATAATACGATTATGCATAGTATGAACAGCGATACTGCTATTCATACCAATATTAATGCTCCTACGAATACTAATAATCACGTTCAAACCAAATACAAAAAACAGACACATCAATGTACCAAAGAATCTGTATTTTCACATACCAATAAATAATATACTCGTATACTACTATTCCAATGTTACCATAGACTATGAGACTATACACTGTTAATATTAACACTAAGAATAAGGCAGAGACTAAGACCAAGACTAATACGAATACTAAAACTCACACTAGACATTAACACTACCATTAGTACACCTATTGTATAGACTTATATTCAGACTAATACTAACGCTGACATTGGAATTGACATTGACACTGACACCAACACTAACAGTAACACGAATCAACACGCTAGAACGCAGATACTAATACTAACACTAATGCCTAATGCACATCTGAAGACTACTGCGCGTAAACAACGAAACCATTTCCGATCAAGCATGCTGCGCGCTGTATTGGCTCTAAGGCTCCGAGAACCAAAAATCCAAAAAACCAAAAAACCAAAAATCCAAAACCTTTGTCAGGGGGGTCGAAACTTTTGGATTTTTTGGTTTTCCTAGGGTTTTTTTGGTTTTCCAACAGAAAACCAAAAAAATCCAAGGTTTTTTTGGTTTTCCAGCAGAAATCCAAAAAAATCCAAGGTTTTTTTTGGTTTTCCAGCAGAAATCCAAAAAAACACAGGTGTTTTTTGGTTTTTCACGAGAGACACAGCAGAAAAACCAAAAAAACCTTGTGTTTTTTTGGTTTTCCACCGAAAATCCAAAAAAAGCCATGGTTTCGCCAAGGCAAAGCCCAAAAAACCAAAAAAGACCTAGGAAAACCAAAAAATCCAAAAGTTTCGGGCCCCTCAGAAAGGCTTTGGATTTTTGGATTTTTGGTTTTTTGGTTTCCGCCGTCGTATCGTATGGTTTCTTTTAATGTTTCTTGCTTATGAATACAGGCATATGAATTTGAAAGCGGACATGAGTAGGCACGACGTTGTAAAGAGACATGACTTCACATCAGCCATGATAGAGAAGGTATCATCCCCGAAAATTACGCAAAACACGAATCGTATGCCAAACGCGAATCCCTGCCAAGAGAAGGTTTTGACGGTATTTACAATGGAAAAGAGGCCGAGGTAGGTCATGGGGGGGGGTGTGTCCATATAGATATATAGATATAGATATAGATATAGATATAGATAGACAGATAGATAGATAGATACATGCATGCACACGTATATACATACAGAATAATAAGGTATGCAGGTAGCCAGGTACCAGGCCCAATACGTTTACTGTTGACGAATCTCTCGACAACTTTTAGAGCCCCAAAACCGGAGAGCCCTGCTCTTCTCAAACCGTTCGACGGTTTGCGGTTTAAGGTCATCACTCCGTGCAACAGCAAGCCACTGGGTGCCCCTGCACCGCAGAAATGGGATCGAATAGGCGGTCCTGTTCGTCGCAGGTGCAAGCATGAAATGAAAAGCTTTAAGGGACATTCTTAACAGCTGGCCTGCGAGTCTGTGCCCCTGTTTGACCAAAGCGGTCTGCTACTTGGAAGCTCCCATTGCGCCCGGTCTCTGAGGTCCCCACACACTCGGCTGCTGTGCCCTTCTTGATGTGGCTCCGAAGTTTCTTGCGCAGGGACTTCCTCGGTGTTGAATCCATTTGGCGGTCCGGATCTGAGAAGAGCAATCAACTGAGCTTCATCTAAGCTTGCAGCAGGGAAAGCAGTGAGCAGGAGTCCAACTCCGTCTGCAATTTCAGCAGTGCCTCAACGGCCTCGCAGTGGGTTGTGCACCAGGTCGCCACGTGGATAAACGGAAGATGACGCGACTGCCTCGAGTGCCTTTGGGAGGTTGCCATCCTCGGAGTATTGCTGCCATTGTCTGCTGCTGTCGCTTCTTAAGGGCCCCCTACCAGACTCGACAACTCTAGTAATTTTGAATGACATCATGTGTCTCCAACAGCCGACTGAGTTTCGCGCTTTGGCTGCCTGTCTGGCGGCCAAGAAGAGGCGCGCACACCTCGGACTCTGAGACTCAGTCACAACTTTAAGGCGCACTGTCAGCAATCATGCTGAGGTCCTTCGGACTGAAGTCCGCTGTCGTGTTTAACCCAAAGTAGCCGAGATACTGGATATCCACAGCTTGGCTGCTTTGGCCTCAGCTGCGGGCTAATCGAAAACGGTCATCACACGCGTCTGCCCAACACATTTGCCTCCACTTCTGTGTCATTGCGACAGCGGGTTCGGTTTGGAGACCCGCAATTCAGTACGGAAGATTCGGTTGGGGTTCTGCGAAAAAGAGTGTAGTAATCTCCCGATCGGAATCCGATGAGTCACGCGCAGCACTAGTTCACTCGCTGCAGAGCAATGTAAATGCGAAAGCAACAAAGCTCGGAGGGCTGCTCATCTGCTGTAGTTTGCTCTTCACCTGCGAAGTCAGAAGTCCACAGATTCTGCGAGTGTGCTCACTTCTTCGCTTGGGGCTCGGCAGGTTGCGCGAAGAAGTGGAAGTTGGACCTTGCAATCGCGGTTTGCATGTGACAGGGCTTCCTGTCTCGACAGCATTCTGTCGGCTGCGCGGAGCACATGACAATTGCTCGCTGGAAGCGTTACTCACACCGAAGCTGACAAAAATGCGGCTCCCTGCATGAGATAAGTGCAGTCGCTTGGGTGTCCGGCCGTAGCTCTTCGAACTTGAAAAGGTACGTGGCCCGAGTGACATCAACTCCGTCCTTGCCATTGCATGCTTTAGACACTGCAGTTCGGGCCACGCTACTGCGCTGTTGTTACAATCCTCTCCGTAGAGAAACTGTAGAACGGAGCCATCACTGTCACGCACGGTATGATCATAGCTCACCTGCGCAGCCAGTCAAGTTCCTCCGTGTACCGCCTGACTTACGCAGAAATCCATTCCAGGCACCTTGAGTGCCTCCAAATGCTTCACGAGGCATCGCTGCAAATAGCCTGCCAAAAATAGACAGCCATGCCCAAATCTCCTGATTATATACAATCCAAGCAATCAACGAGATCAGCGTGGAACCCCGAAGTAAAACCGACGCTCAGAGCCTGAGCGTGACGTCTTCACAGCCGTGTCCACCAGACCTTCTCGCCCGGCCATGCAGTGGAAGAAGAACTCCTGACAGGTACTCGCGGTGTATGACAGAGGAAGAGAAGGCTAGGTCGCTCGGCACCGACCATGTCTTGGCCTGCGGTCGAATGCCCGTTAAGAATCGGTCAGCGATGTAGCCTGACACGGTGCAGCGTGGGCAACTTCTTCCTTTGGCTCCAACCATCCAGCTTTTGCAAAAGATCATGCTGTTCTTGCCTCGGGTTCGGTTGGAGAGATCACGCACGGCAAAGCACGGCAAGGACCTGCAAAAAGCTTGACACACTTAACACTTACAGAATGCTGGACCCTTAGACACGAGACAAGTGTAGACATCAAAGTACCAGGAATCAGAATGATGGCAATGTGAACTTCACCACGAAATGCCTTTGCCATCATCACAATAAGTTCTCATCATGACCATAGCCATTAGCACCACCAGCAATATCCCCATCGTCATCATCATGTCAAGCCTCGACACAGCCGCACTGGCAACACCACCATCTTGGCCACCATAACTCGCAGCTACCATCATCACGTTCATGACCTGCACCCCCACCCACCAGCACCATCAGCCTCACTCTCATCATCAGTGGCTGTGACGCCAATCCCTTATCATCCATGCCAGGTAGAGGTGCCAGACATGATAGTTTTAGACAGTGATAACATCGAGAAACACCGCCAGCAGGGAACATTCACGCCAGTCCCACTTTGAGCAAGAAAAGCCTCTGCGTCGTCATCAAGGGTGGAAGGCGACCCTCCAGCTCCTTTCGAAACCGCTGTTTGGGTTAACTGAGTCTAACTTCAGGTTGTCGGATGTCAGGATGTTCGAAGGAGATCTGGTGGTGCGGCGTCCTGCTGTCCCAAGCAGCAGCTGACTTGCGACCTCAGCGCATCACAAGGGCTGCTGCAGTTTGCGCAGGCCACTCTGCTCTCAGACCAGTCGCGGATTCACACAAGTTGACATGGACGTGACTGTAAGCTTCTTAACAACTGCTGCTTGTCAAGGATTATATAACTATAACAGGACTCGCAAGCTGCTTGCGAAAGCAGTAGTGTTGCCTTAGAAGCGACCCCATGACAGGGAAGCCGATTCAGAACAACGGCTCGGCCCCCGGCTGATTGACTTTGGACCCTTTGGCTCCCGTCTGCACCATGGACTGGGCCAGCTTCAAGGCTTCGAGAAGGGCTTTTGGGCTTCAGGGGGGGAGCCTCCTGTTCTGCTCTCATGTGAACCCTCCAGCTCCTCAAGCCCTACACCCTAAATCTGCAAGATTGGACTCCGCCTCTAGGGCCCAGTCTGAGGTCCGGAGGCACACAAGAGAGACCGAGGCCTCTGCTGCAAAACAGTTCCGAGGGACTGCGAGCCGCTGGCCAATTGGAATGCACCTCGGGCTCTTGGGGGAGGTGTTGAGGGCTTTAGGGCTCTAGGGTTGCTGAATGTGTGGAGGGTTCTGGTCGACAGAATCGACAATCATTTTGCAGGACGGACCCCCCCCTTGCCGGGAGGGCACTGCACGCAAAACGCGGCGATTTGAGCCGGGGCTTCCGCTTGTTGATCATGCCGGACCAGAACTCCTTCATCTTGCCTGCATGTGAAGGGCACTGCTGGATGCACGCAAATAGTCTGCCACCGCGGAGGGAATGTCCTACCTGCGGCCTCCTGCATCGCAGGAGCTTACCAAGGCTCGGACCGATGATCAAGCCCTCAAAGTGCTCCACGGTCTCCTTCTGCTGAAACCTTGCAAGAACTTGGCCTAAGGGAACTAGTGACCTAGTCTGATACACAGGAGAATGACTACCCCTTCCTGAAGCGGGACCGTATCCAGAGCAACCCGTGCACATGTACAGTGTACACAGAGAAGCACCTTGCTGGGAAGCTGAGCTCCGGGCAGATGCTTGGATGCCTTTGAAAG